CTGGCCATGATGGCGCATACCTGTAGTCCTTGCTGCTTGCAGACTAAGAAAGGGAGGATCACTTGAGCTCAGGAATTCAAAGCCAGCCTTGACCGCTTCTCAAAAAACAAAAACATAGCAGTTGGAAAAAGTTTTCCGTGAAAGTTTTCATTAAGTATACCCCAAGCCCCTTCTAGATGAATACAGTAAGCTGTCAGTGTGCCTACACCTGGGCCACCCCACTTAGTTTCATAAATTTATCCCACTTTAAGAGCGCCATGTGGGGAGGCACCAGAGTTGCTATAACCAATCAGCACCCACTGAACAGTAGCCATTTGTGATTTTTCAGAATGAACAAGGTGGTAAAGAATAATCTCAAACAAGCACTTATCTTTGTTGTGCGACTATTTCTTAAACTATAGTCCTAAAAGTAGAATTATTAACTAAAAATATGCATCCATTTTAAATTCTGATACTTAGTAGCTGAGCAACGTGACAAGATAATTCTCAAATTCTGAGATTTAGAGGTAGTTTATTTACAGTGTGAAATCCAGACACATAACCAGGCTCCTTCATCTCCTTCCACCCACCACAACCCTGCATGGTGGGTTGGAAAAGGGCTCCAAGACTTACAGTCACTCCCTGCCATTTCCCCAACTGAGCACAGACCTGGGAAGCACTGGCCTAGGGGACTGCTACTGGTGGGATTTGTGGGGTCTCTGCCTCTAGCCAGGTCCCCAGTAAGCCCCCAAAATGGCAGTCTGGCTCTCAGCACGGCGGCACAACAGCACAACACCTAGCGCTGGTTCCCTCAGCTGTCAGGGACAGTCATGACTCCAGGCTCACTTGGTGATGCCCCTAGTTATCCACTCCCGGAGGCCCTTGTCCCATGTATGTGGTGCCCCAGTAACCAGGGCCCAGCTGGTTTTATTTTTCTTACCTAGTACTGCCCAGGCCGCCCTCATTCTCTCATCTCTCAGGTCTGTGCCCCAGCACAACTTGGCCAAGAAATTATGACTGGGGCTGGGGATTTAGCTCAGTGGCACAGTGCTTGCCCCACAAGCATGAGGTTGTGAGTTCAATTCCCGGTACCAAAAAAAACAAAAAACAAAAAAACTATGGCTGCCACCGTGGGCCTCAGGTTCCCCACATGTGCAATAGAGAGCATCTGGTAGTATCACTGACTGACAGCAGCATGCTCAACTCATAAAGGCTGGCTTTTGTGCAGTCCAGTTGAACCTTAAGCCACTTAATTGGTTAGGGCTTGTTTGGGGGAAAAAATTTGCCTTTTGTTCCCACAGTTCTCAGCTCCTGAAGTGCAATTAAGACCAAAAGCTATAGCTTATCATGAGGACACAGCACACACCTGTATTCTCAACACTACAATAAAGGAGGCTGAGGCTGGAGAATCTAGAGTTGAAGGGCAGCAAAACCCAGTCTCAAAAACAAAGCAAAAAGGCCAAAGCCGAACTAGGTACACCGGTATGCTTGTGGTACCCACTACTTGAAAGGCTTAAGTTGAAGGCTCACTTGAGCTCTGGAGTTCAGGACCAGCATGGGCAACATAGAAAGACCTGGCCTTTAACAACAAAATAATCAAGCAGTAAAGAAAGAACTGTTTGTGGCGGTGCTCACCTACAGTCCCAGCACTTAGGAAGTTGAGGCAGGAGGATTGCCATGAGTTCAAGGCCAGCCTGGACTACAGTGAGACCTTGTCTGAAAACAAACGGGCCCAGTGTGGTGGCACACACCTGTAAGCTCAGCACTGAAGGAGACTGAGGCAGGAGGATCCCTTCGAGTTCAAGACTAGCCTGGATTACCGAGAGAGACCCTGTCTCAAAAAACCGAAAAACAAACAAACAAAGATCAAAAACTGTATTCAAGGCTGTTGATTTCTAAGCATAAGACCCTAGGTATCTGACGTTACTTGAGGAAACAGGGCCAGGAAAGGATTCCCGGGTCTGAGTTTCGCTGTCCCGAAACGGGGATCCGTCGCCAGGTATTTCAGAGTGGAACAGACAGAATGAAGTGCTGACGGGCTGCAGGACTCCAAGGGAAACCTGGAGCTGGACACTGCGGTAGAGGAAAAAGAGAAACCAGGCAGGACCGCTTCGAGCCCCCACCTGACCTCTACGTCCGTCCAGGACCAGCCACCACGAGGAAGGCTTGGGCTCCGCTGCCAGACACAGCCGGGCAGATGACACCGGTAGACTCCGACAAGAGCACACGCACAGCTTCTCCGCGGCTCCCGCGTAAACCAGCACCTACCCGATAACCAGAGAACTGCACGGGACGATGCCCACGAAGCGCGGGCACAGCCCGGCTGCGTCATCAACGCTCCCTAAGCGCCGCCAGTGATCACCCCCGCCGCCCCTCGGGTGCGTGACTGGGATACCTGCTTGGGGTTGTGTCGGAGATGGCCTTCTTCCCGACTCCACGGGTCCTGGACAGAAGAGCCATCGCATCCTGAGCTGTCCCTTACACCTGGAGGTGAAGTCTCAGGACCAAGCGTCCCTCAGTCTCCCCTCCCAGCAACGGGAGCCATGCCAGCTCCGGCCCGGGGACGGCGGCCGGCAGCAACCTTACAACGCCGGGTCTGGCGCCGTTTCTCTCAGTAACGCCCCACCCCATCCACAGGCACACAGTAGGCGCTCCGGAAACGCCCTCCGAGAGGAGGAGCGGGCCACTTCCTGCCCCCAAGCGAACTGCGCGAGCCGGGTCCCACCGCGCGCCGCTCGAGGCCATGTGGCATTCCTGAGGGGGGTGGGCGCAGGAAGGAGGTGCGGCCCCGCCCCCTCCGCGGTGGGCGTGGCCAAGCCCCCGGCGCCGCTGGCCCTCCCCGCGGGGGGTGGGCGTAGCTGGCCCCGCTCGACTCAAAGTTTGTTTTCTGCCTCTAGGCGGTGGGGGAGGGCGAGGCGCGCGCTGAGGGGAGGAGAGGGGATCTGACGTCAGGCCGCGAGGTGCTTTCCAGCCGCGAGCTGTCAGGCGGGTGTCAGGCCCGGCAGGTACGCGGCGCGCGCCCCCGGCGTCCCCCGCCCCCGGCCGGGACGCCCCGCACCCCGCCCGAGGCCGCGTGGGCCCGAAAGCCGCCGGGAGAAGTCGGTGCGGGGCTCCTGAGGGGCGGAGATGGGGGTGGGGGCGCGCGGACTACTTGGAAAGTTTCTTTTTCGCGTCCCGGCGGGGGAGGGGGCGTCGTCCAGGCGCGTGCGATTGTGGGTGTGTGAACTCCGTTGTGTTCCTGAGCTCCGACGGCCGAGTGCCGGTGAGGGGGCCTCGCCAGCCCCCCGGAGGAAGCTCGCTCGGGGCCCTCTCGGGGGGCCCGGCTCCCTAAGGACCCCACCACGGCCGAGGGCCGCCAGTGCCCCGGAGCGGGGCGAGCGCGCGGGGGGCGGGTTTGTTTGGTTTCAAAAGTGCACGTTGCTAACCGCCGGCTGGGCCCCCCCGCGGCCGAGCCGGGGAGGGGGCGGCCAGAGTGACAGCTGGGGGTGGGGGCCGCGGGAAGGGCCGGGCGAGGGGAGGGCTGGGGAGCCCGCGCGAGTTCCTCTTTCCTTTGGAACAAAGGAAAGTCTGTCTCCGAGGCATCTGTCACTCCCGGGCGGGCCAAGGCGGCGGGGCGCGTGGGGCCAGCGACCCGAAGAAAGTTTGTGCGGCGGGGACCCTCGGGGCTGACGCGGGGGCTCTGAGCCTGCCGCGGGGGAGGCGCGCGGTCCCGGGGGCCGGGGGCGGCCAACATGGAGTCTGGGCGCAGAACTGGGGGGGCGGTGCGGAGGTGGGAGCCCAGCCCCCTCCTCTCCCCTCCCCCTCCGGGCCGAGTTGGGAGCACAAAGCCGAGCGCGCACGCTCCGCCGGCCCCGCGCCCCGAAGAGTCAGCCTGCGCGGAGCAGCCGGGGAAGGGGGTGGGACCCAAACTTTTTCCTGCCCCGGGACAGACACGTGAGTTTTCTTTCTTCCAGAGCCTTCGCTCCCCCAGGAGTGTGGGCCCGTTTCGGAACTCTTGCGCGCTCTCTGACGGGGTGGTGGGCCGGGGGTGCGGACGCCCCGAGCGCCGGCCGACCCCTCGCCGCCCGGGGAGCCATGTGCTCTGCTCGGTCTGGGCCGCGGGGGAGGCTGCGCGCTTTGTGTGAACTGCTGGGAATGCGAGCGCCAGTGCGCGGCCCGGGGGAGTGCCGGCCGAGCTGGGACAGTTGTCAGAAAGTTCCTGCGGGAGTGGCTGCAGGTGGCGTCGTGGGAGTGTGTGGGAGGGTGCGCGGGGCGTTGTGTCTGAGGGTTGCTGCCACAGAACTGGTGGCTGGTGTGATGACGTCCGGCGCTTCTCCTTTCGGGGAGATGGTGGGTGGGCGGATGCAGGAGTTGGCCTAGTTGGTGGGTCCCAGTTGTTGGTACTGGGCATGCGGTTCTAAGCTGTTTTGTGTGTGTGTGTCCTTGAAAATCATGGAGTTTGTAGGGCCTGAGGAGAGGGTCGAGGCAAGTTATCTGTGGTGTTAAAATTGCTTGGCATGGGGGTGTCGAGTATGGGGTGTATGTGTGGGAAACCTGCGTTACTGCAGTCAGGTCTGGGGTGCAGCACACCGAGATGGAAAGGATTTTGTGGACTGAGGGGTCATCCCCAGAGCCCACCCCTGGAACCCTGAAAATTGGCTTCTGGCTGGCAGCCAGGGTGGAATTTGTGCAGATAACCTTGAGTAAACTTTACACAGACTTCCAGGGCTGCATCCCGGAGCCCAGATCCCAGCAGCTCTGGTGGCTCGAAATGTCTGACTTCAGAATGCAGCCTGCTGGTGGAGCTCTCTGAGAAGTGGCACCTCCAAGCAGTGCCTGCCTCGCCTCCAGGTGGCCTGGCTGAGGGTAGACCCTTCCCTCGAAAGCCTGAGTTAGCTGGCCTAGAGCTCTGGGCTCTGGCCCAAGTCGAGGAAACAAAACCTGGGAGATGCCAGAGTCTGTTGGCCCGGCCGGCTCGGGAGCTGTTAAAAGGCTGAGAAGGGAGGAGCCTCGTGTTCTGGCATCAGCTTGGCCTGGAATTTTTGCTTTTAAAATGTAAATTTCTTTGCTTGTGTGAACAAGAACTTTAGGGGAAGAGCAGCTGAGCTGGCATATCTAGGGGGAAAATGTTCCTTCGTTTGATGGGTGAGGAAGGGTGGGCTTTAGCCCGCCCCCCCCACCAGAGGGAAGGACTTTTACCTAGAGTCACAACGACCAAGTGGAGGGTGGGACCACAGCCCAGCCTTGCTCCCTCTCTGTGGAGAGGTCGAGTCTGGGATCAGGCTGTGAAGGAGGTGGTCTAAGAAACAACCAGGAGGAATGACTCACTGCTCTTTCCTGCAGGGTACACAGTTGGTGCTCAGCAAATATTACATGTTGCTGAAGGCCCTGGTGATTGTAGAGTGTCCAGACTCCTCTTGGGCCTCAGACGCCTGGGAGGCAGGATAATGTAGAGCCTACAAGGTGTGTGAGGGGAGGCGAGTTACCCGAGTCCAAATCCTACTTTGATAACATATCCTGGAGGCAGGATCTTTTTAAATAATAATTTTATTGTGGTTTAACTCACACCATAAAACTTGCCCATATACACATCAGTGGTTTTTAGTATATTTACAACTATGTACAACCAGCACTAGTCAATTTTAGGACTTCTGTGTGTGGTAGTGGGGCTTGAACCAGGGACTTGCTAGGTAACCTCTCAATCACTGAGTTACACCTGCATTTTGTTTTTGCTTTTTGAGACAGCCTCATTTTGTAGTAACAGGCTGGCCTTGGACTTAACTAGCCTCCTGTATAAGCATCCTCAGTGCTAAGATTATAGGCCTGTGTTACTACACTTTACCTTTACTTTTTATTTGGAGGCAGGATCTCCCTGAATTTTTCAGGCTGGTGTCAAACTGGTGACTATCTTGCCTCACTATTTAACACCTCAAAAAAACACATATTTTAGCTGTCACACTTCTTATCCTTCCCAGTCCTGATTAACTGTTAATCTACCATGTGTCTATAGATTCACCTCTTCTAGATGTCCCATCATAAGTTGAAATGTGTAATATAGGGGTTTGCCTGGCGTGGTAGCACTGTAATTGTAGCACTCAGGAGGCTGAGGCAGGAAGACTGCTGCAAGTTTGAGGCCAGCCTGGACTACTACATAGTGAGACCCTGTCTCCAAACACCAACCAAAAAAATGTAGTTGTCTGTGACTAGAGGTCTTCCCATGTTGTAGCAGGTATTAGGTCTCAACTTTTTTTTTTTTTTTTTTTTTTGAGACAGGGTCTCACTATGCAGTTCAGGCTGACCTTGAGCTCACTTTGTAACCCAGGCTGGTCCTGTAACAATCTTCCTGCCTCAGCCTCCTGAGTGAGTGCTGGGATTACAGGTGTGCTGCACTACACCCGGTTTAGGACTAAATAATAGTTCATTGTGTGTATAGATAACATTTGCTTTTCTAATTATCTGCTGATAGATACTTGGTTGTTTCTACTATTTGGCTATTATGAATAATGCTGAGTATTTGTGTTCAAAGTCTTGTGTGCACCCAGGTTTGTATTTCTCTGGGGTAGATAGCTAGGAGTGAAATTGCTAGGTCACTTGGCGACTTCATGTTAACCATAACAGTCCCTTTGCTGGCTTTCTTAATCTCCTTTCCTCATCAGTAAAATAAGAATAATTTCTCCCTTATAAGATTTATGAGAATTAAATGAGGTATAGATGTGAAGCATCTGTACATAGTAAAGAACATGGAAAATAGCAGACCTTAATCAGTAGTGGCTGTAATTATTTCTAGTCCTGTTCCTATTTATGAATGATCTGCTATTTATTTCAGAAGTCACCTACCCACACCATGAAATGGTAGACTTTTCCCTTCCAGCTTGCGTAAGCTATGGTATAGCCCAAGCCTTTGAACTGTGACTTCTCCATTTCTGGTGTCCCAGGCTGTAGAAGTGTTTGGAGATAAGAAGCAGGGTGAGAGGCAGTGCATCCTAATGACATGCCCCTCCCCTTGTGTCCTTGTCCCAGGCTCGCTGGAGGTCTAGCCTCGCCCCTAGGCACCATGTCTGACAGTGACCTAGGTGAGGATGAAGGTCTCCTGTCCCTGGCGGGCAAGAGGAAGCGCAGGGGGAATCTGCCCAAGGAGTCCGTGAAGATCCTCCGGGACTGGCTGTACCTGCACCGCTACAACGCCTACCCCTCCGAGCAGGAGAAACTGAGCCTTTCTGGACAGACCAACCTCTCAGTGCTGCAGGTAAGTGGGCGACCTGGGCTCTAGTCCCGTCCCAGCCCTGTCACTGGTTCATACAGTGTCACCTTGGGCCAGTCACCTCCCCCTTTGGGGCCTTAGTTCCTTCTTGGATCAGGTGAGAACTCTTACTCTCCTGCCTCCAGACAAGGAAATAAGGTCATTGCAGATGTCGGAGAGTTCTGGAGAGGGCTTCATAGCGATGTCGAGGCCAGCCTGAACTGCTTAGCAAGGCCCTATGTCACAAAAACAAAAAAAAATTTAATTTTAATTTTCTTTTGTACCGGGAATGAAACTCAGGACCTTGCACTTGCCAGGCAGGCACCTGCACCACTGAGCTATATCCCCAGCCACAAAACAAAGTTTAAAAAGGGCAGAAGTCAGAGGTTATAACAAGGTTAACCTAGCTCCCTCCTAGTGTCTGAACGGTCTTATCCCATCTATGAAATGAAGGTTGGATTACTCTTCTGGCTGAGAGAACTGTTGTGAAGAATAGATTGGAACTGGAATCTATTCATAAACCACATACAAGGTGTCAGCCAGGCAGGACGACAGCATTTTCGAAGCCAGCCTGGGCAATTTAGCGAGATGCCACGTGAAATACAAAGGGCCGAGATGTAGCCTAGTCTTCGAGTGCCCCTGGGTTAGACCCTGGGCACCACACAATAAAAGTGTCAGGGTGCAAAGTAGCATCTTATTTGAATTTTAATTATCCCTGGTGCTGACCTGCAGGTGTCTTTGTTGTTTCCTGGTGCTGCAGCAGGGTACCCTGGACTGCCATTGCCTTGTGTCCACTTTGGCTGTCACTTCCTTAGGAGACCCAGGCCCTCGGCCTAGCGCTGGGGACTCATCCCCTGGCCCACGGGACCCCCCTGCTCCCTGCATGAATCACCCCAGCATCTTCTCCAAGCCCCCCTCCTCCCTCTGCACCTCTGTCCTTTAACGGCTCATTGGTTTGGCGTAGGAGTCTCTCGTCCCCCTTCCTTTACCCTTCTTTGAATCCTTTATGTTCTGTTTCTTCCTCGGCTTCCCGTGAAGAGACGTGGTGAGTGTTCAGCCTTGGAACTCTATCACTGGCCTTACTCGCTGGGCAGTGGTTAATCAGAGTCTATCTGCGAGAAAGGGTCTCAAGTTACAGATCCTGACTCAGATTCCATCCTCTCCCTAAGAGAAAGCCTGGACCTCAGCCAGCTCACTGCTGTCTCTTGGAGCCTATTTCCTCATGTGAAAACAGGGAGATGGTTGTAGGACTTTCCTTGGGTGTAAGAAGGAGAGACAGAATTGAAAGCTGACTTCGACGTGTCTGACAATGAGTGCTGCTCTTGTTCCCATCCTTCTCTTCTGAGTTCAGGAGGTCTTGGGCTGAGCCCTGGTGTGCCTAGGGCAAGAAGCCTTTCAGAGTTACCTCCTGAACACCCTCACTGTGCCCAGCTACCGGCTCACAAACACCCTGAGGGAGTATCTAGTCCCGGATGGGAATAAAACGCAGGCGTAGCCACTAGTGTTTGCAAAAGTGAGCACTGCTAGGACAGAAGAGGGCATAGACCCAGTGTAGGGCAGCATCTAGGGCCTTAAGTAGATCTCCCAGAGTGGGTGGCCTGAAACTTACAGGTTGTCAAACTGCGTAAGCAAAGGCCTGAAGCCCAAAAGGCAGGATTTCTAGATAGCTCTTTGCTATTCTCCTATCTCCAGTGTTTTTCCTTCAATCCTTTTTTTTTTTTTTTGAGACAGAATCTCACTGTTTAGCTCAAGCTGCCCTCAATCCTCCTGCCTCAGCCTCCTTAGTGCTGGGATTACAGGTGTGTGCCACCATACCTGGCCCTTCAGTCCATTTTGAGTGGGTCTCACTAAGTTGCCCAGGTTGAACTTGAACATGTGATCCTTCTGCCTCAGCTTCCTAGAGTACTAGGATTACAGATGTAATCCCATCATGCCTGGGTCAGTCCATTCTTCTGAACAGAGAAGCACAAATTGAATACTGCTGCACACTCCGTGGACCCCACTGTGCTCAGGATAGAGTCCAAAGTCCTTAGAATCTTTCTAGCCTCATCCCTCAGTTCTTCCAAGTCCTGGCCTTTGAGCCCTCAGGCCTCTAAGATTTGTCCTTGGCCCTGACTTTCCTTAATAGGCTCCCTCCATTTAAGCACTTCTTTTTTTTTCTTTACCAATTATTTTGGTTTTTTGAGACAGGGTCTCACTTTATAGTGCAGGCTGGCCTTGAACTATGTAGCCCAGGCTGCCCTCGAACTATGTAGCCCAGGCTGCCCTCAAACTAGTGGCAACCCTCCTGCCTCACCCTCCAAAATGTTGGGATTATAGGTGTGTACCACCACACCTGGATAATACCTCTTTCTTATGTAGGTACTCTCTGACCCACAGTTTAGGGTTGGAGTCACAGCTGTGCACATACTTGTCCTTTTAAACCACCTGTCACATTGAAAGGGAGTTGATTTTTGTCATATACACAGTTTCTTATATCTTAGATATGTACCAATTCTTTCAAAATACTGGTTTTCATGGACATGCCTCCTTCAAGGTGTTAACTTTTTGCCTTTATTTTTATTTTGGGGGGGGGGCTTTTTGAGACAAGGTTTTACTACATAGTTCAGGCTGGCCCTGAACTCATGGCAGTCCTCCTGCCTCAGCTTCCTGATTGCTGGGATTATAGGTGTGCACAAACCACATCCTCAAGATGTTAATTTTTTTTAAGTTTGAGCCCAGCCTAGGAAAATTAGTTAGTTTGCTTGTTTTAGGTTTTTTTGAGACAGAGTCTCACTGTTTAATCCAGGCTGGCTTCCTTGAACTCATGACAGTCATCCTGCCTCAGCCTCCCAAGTGCTGAGATTACAGGCGTGCACCACCAGGCCCAGCTAGCCTAGGCAATTTTCTTTTTTTTTTTTTTCTTTATCTTTCTGTTATTTTATATTTACAAGACAGCTTTGTAGTTTGGGCTGGCCTTGAATTCACTATGTAGCCCAAGCTGGCCTCAGACTCCTGGCAATCCTCCTGCCTCAGCCCCAGGTGCTGAAATTGTAGGTGTGTGCCACCATGCCCAGCATAGCCTGGGTAATTAGACTCAATGTGAAGATGTTGGGTTCAATTTCCAACACTACCGAAAAAAGTATTAGCTTTATTGTATCACTCAAGTATGTATATGTATAAAACTGAATGAAGATGTTATTTTAGTTTTTATATATAACTATAAAACCAAACAATTTTTTGAAGTGCATAGGTGTAAAAATAATGAAATTCTACCTTATACATGAAATGGCACATGGCATTTTTCTGCCTGTGCTGGGTATAGCAGGATGAAGGTGCTGACTCAGGTGAATGAGTGATTGCTGCAGCCACAGTGCTGTTATTCTGATCAGAAGGGAACACAAAGCCAGAACGTCCTTGTAGAGAACTGGGGGACCCCTGAGGGTGACAGATCCACTTGGACAAACCTTAAGTCTAGGGAAGGATCTCAGTGGTAGCAACCTCGCTCTAGAGTCATGCTGAGGGTCACAGGCAGTGACCTTCTGCACTCCCTGGGGACACTACTTTGTCTCCCATATCAACCCCCACCTCACACCTCTCTTGGAGCCTCAGGCACCTGAGACTACCTGAATGGTAACTGTAACTCCCCGGCTGGCTTCCCTTTGTGAGGGGCTCCTCTCCATGGCACCTGCTTAGCTTGTTTGGGATCACTGGTGTCTATACATCCTTCCCTTAAATGTTTCTGGGCTGCACCATCTTTTCCTTGCTTCTCCATGCCACTGCCTATCGATCTATTGTCACACTGTGACTTCTGCCCTTCAGTGGCTCCTGCCAACCTAATCATGTCTCCTGTGCTCATCTGCATCTTGGACTCATCTCTGGCTCCCTACATTCCTGCTGCACACACTGATGGCTGCCCTTGGCTGCTTTCCTCCCACCCCTGATCACGATACTCTGGATTCCTGGGGGAGCTGTATCTTCCCACAGCACCTGGACTAGGCCTGAGCACAGGGCAGGGATGTGAGTATGTGTAGGGGGTGTACCTGAATAGCTGTGTGGTTTTACTTTTTTGCAGTATGGGGGATTAAAAACCTAGGGCCTCTGCACTGAGCTGGATCCCCAGCCTTTTTTTTTTTTTCTTTCTAGTACTGAGACTCAAACTCAGGACCTTGTGCTTGCCATGCCCTGCGCTCCCCGCCCCTCTCCCCCGTCGTCGTCCCGTTCCCGCCCCACCCCGTCTCCCCCGCTTTTAAAACAGGGTCTAAGTTGTTCAGGCTGGGCTTAAAATCATGATCTTTCTGTCTCAGCCTCCCAGACTGCTGCTGGTGTAAGGCATACACTACCACACCCAGCTAGCTACTGGTTGCTTTTTAGATGGCACTGAATTCTGGAGGTGTGAAGGGCAGAGACCTAGGATAGCCTCAGTGTTAGCTCACTGCTTGGTAACTGGTAGGTAATGCTCAGTAATTAAGTGGTTGAAATGACAGAAAACGATAGTGTTGGAAATATCCAAAGTAACTGTAGAGGTTCCTTGGTCAAGAAAAATTGACTTCAGTCCCTTGATGCATCTCCTTTTCCTGTATTTTGTTTTTCTTTTTTTTTTCTTTTTTTTTTTTTTTGAGAGTCTCACTATGTAGGTCACACTGGCCTTAAACTCACTTTGTAGCCTAGGCTGGCCTGGAACTGCAGTGATCCTCTTGCCTTATCCTGCCGAGCATGCACCACCCCGCCTGGCTTCCTATATTTACTTCTTTTTAAGCTTTTGTTTGTTATTAACGACATTCTCAAATACCCAGAGAGGTAAGAGAATATTGCAGTGAATTCTCAGTACCTTTGGCTTCCACAGGTATCCACATTTTGCAAGGCCTGTTTTAGCTTTCCCTAGGGGCATCCCTTTTGATTGTCTCTTTTAACAGGCCCAGAAGCTATCTCATTAGCAAGTCAGTGAGTCATTTAACCAACTGGTTTGCTGGTACTTGCCCAGAGCAAGGCAGTTGGGAGAGTAAGGCAAAAAAACAGTGACGGAT